ATCCCACCAAGCTCATCCCATCAAGCTCATCCCACCAAGCTCATCCCACCAAGCTCATCCCACCAAGCTCATCCCATCAAGCTCATCCCACCAAGCTCATCCCACCAGGCTCATCCCATCAAGCTCATCCCACCAAGCTCATCCCATCAAGCTCATCCCACCAAGCTCATCCCACCAAGCTCATCCCCCAAGCTCATCCCACCAAGCTCATTTCATCCAGCCCATCCCATCAAGCTCATCCATTAAGCTCATCTTATCAAGCTCATCCCACCAAACTTATCCCACTAAGTTGATCCCACCTAGCTCATACATCTCATGGAGATGGTAAATATAGTTAATGGCCGGGGTGGACTTTAAAAAAAAAAACAACAACACCCGGACATGTTTTCTAATTATAAAACATAAATAACAATCACAATAATCTTTCAATTGGATGTTATTCTAAAATCACTTTAAAAAATAAATGTAAGATTTTCATGATATATAGAGCTGGGACTTAGGGCTGGGACCCATAGTCTACCCACTCTATAGACTATTGATAATTCAAAAACTACACCAGTTTTCATATCAATAATATGTCAATGCACCACGTCTCGAAATTTCGCGTGATAACATTTACACAAATATATTATTTAATTATTTGTATTATGTGGCTTAATTTTCTAAAATTCAGTAACAAAAAGATGCATATTTTAACAGAAGCTAATAATAATCAGATATTTATAAGTATGCACGGTTGAAAATATATGTTTTAAAATAATTTTAAATTTGTAACCGGAAATCGCTTTCTGATTTATACGTCATTGGCTACACACCAATCGACGATCTTCCTCAAAAGTACTTCAATTATTAAATATTCTAAACAAAAAAATCTACAAATAATTAAAGATAAGACAGTTTACATCAGTTACTTAAGAACTACACCTATGTAAGTATTTTAGAAACTCAATAAACAACAATGGATATTTCTTGGGTTGTTTACTGTGCTCTGTTCCTTGTGATATTTTGATTTGTCCTGTGCGCTGAAGAAGGCTCTATGCTGAAACGTTCAAATCTTATTGTCCTGTCCTTAAATTCAAGCTTCAACAAACCTCGTTTTGCTATTTCTTTTACTTAGCTTAAATGTAGTCATTTAATTATTATATTTTAGCCCTTTCAACCAGTGGAATATCCTCTTCAATACCAGGCACAGAAACATTGCGAATCGCCTCTATATAAATAGGAGCCAGAATGATCATTACATTGATCGTGGGCCCTTAAGATATATAATAATAATAATATATAGTTTATTTGAAAAACACGCTTCATCCCCAAAAGCTCGAAGCGCGGTACAAAGTCAACTATATTAAAAAGAGAAATAAAAACAATCTAAAATTTACCATATTTAAAAACAGACGCAACAATATAAAACTACATACGAGCATACCCAGTCAAAGTCTTTCATCCCGTTTCAACCATAAGCAACACAAGCCAATATACATTAACTGAAAAAGATGGTAGATGGCATCAACCCAGAAAGTGTTTGCGAAATAGATGTGTTTTTAAATCGGTTTTAAAGGACTCCAGTATCTGTCTGTTTCTGAGAGCGACTGGAAGTGCGTTCCAAATTGTTGGGCCAGCAAATGCAAAAGTGCGCTTTCCGTAAGTCTCAAGGCGAACACACGGTATCGATATTTTGCCACTATCGGATGAGCGGAGCTGTCTAGTGGGTACATAAGGCATCATGAGTGCTTTGAGATAGGCTGGCTCCAGGTCATGTAAGCAGCAGTAGCACAAAGTTGCAATTTTGTACTCTATGCGAGCGCCGACCGGCAGCCAGTGCAGCTCCCTCAGAAGTGTTTTAGCATGGTCGAATTTGCGTTTGCGAAGAACACTGCAAGCCGCATTATTCTGTGCTCTTTGAATTTTATCCAGGAGCGTAGCTGGGAGACCCACCATGAGAGCATTGCAGTAGCCCATGCGTGATAACACAAATGCAGACATCAGCCTCTTTGATGCATCTAACGTTAAGAAAGGTCTGATATGACTAATCCTGCGCAGCTCTAGGAAAATTGCCTTGCAAAGCATTTTAATATGATTTTCCATAGTAAGTGTTCTGTCTAAATAGAGACCCAGATCTCGCACTGTATGAGCAAACTCAATCTGCACACACACATATATATATATATATATATATATATATATATATATATATATATATATATATATATATATATATATATATCTGTCTCT